CGAGTTGACAGCCGTGACTCTGCAGTCGAGCAGTGCGTACTATTATGTAATAAGCCAGGGCTAGCGATAGCTTGAGTTGTAAGTCTCGCAGCTTCTCCATCTCCTCACGCTGCCCTCGCATCTTCGCGTCGGTCCCAGCTCTCACTTCAGTGTGAACGTTTTGACGAACAGTCTTGTGTAACGTTAGCTTTTTTTTTTTTGCGTTGAGCTTTGTTTTTTGCAACCGTGCAGTGTTGTAGCGACACGGTTGTTGCTGTGCTGCAAAGACTGAGCGTAAGGCATGTTTCATGTTTGGTTAATTCCTGCCATCCCGCTGGTATCGGGAGATGTTGGCTGAAGCTGTGGGTGTGAAATCTGTGCGGTTTGTTTCAAGCAGTGGTGGAAGTGGTGCTGCCTTTCTTCCATTACCCCCTCTGCATCATCCTCAAACATATGATCCTGCTGCAGTGTTGCATGTCCGCAGCCTCCTCAGCCCTGCTGGTGCTCTGTTACCACTTTCACCCGACGAGAGCCAGGAGCAGAAACAGGAGCCTGGCCGGCAGTAAGGACTGTTCCTAATTGTGTCAGACAACTGATGCATCCGGCAGACCCCGCTCTGTTAACAGATATCTGATATCAGCCTGTCATGTAATCCACCAGAGATTTCACGGAGCTTTGTCCTTTTTCTCTGCTTCTATTCCCGCCCTTTGAGTAGGAAGAGTGAGAAGGCATTCAAACATTCTGACAGGAGCAGGGCAGGTCTTTTGGGCCTGAAAGTGGTCAGATTTAAAGCTCCATGGCTCTAACATGTTTATCAAGAATTAATGATAATAGTCATAAGAGTGTATTATCACCTGAATGTAGGAATTGTTGTGTTTTTTTTGTTACCGCGGATTGCCTCCCACCGAGTCCACCGCGTTGAACCTCTGTGTTTGCACAGTAGCCGAGAAAAGCAAACACTGGCTTGTGTTTTTCGCAAGTTTTGTGTCCACCGTAGTTTCTCCTACACACTCCAGGTCCCGTTCTCATTCCCAGGTCGCCAAATACAGATGGGAATGGCGTTCAGTTAGTTGCAGTCTGCGACTTCACTGCTCGATTCCACTGAACCCTTCACACTGGTCCTTGACACCGACAAGACACTGAAGAATGGATTTGAAACGTCAACATGGGCCAACAACTTCATAGAGAGCTGCGTGTTTTAGTCTAGGTCATAGATAAGAACTGAGCATTTTTGTAACTGACCGCAGATGATTTATTCTCTGTACTTGTGCCAAATTTGGTTCTTCCACTCACATACTGTATTTCCATGTTTTCCGTCCTTTGCTCATTTGCATGTAAATCCCGGGCTTTCCATGTCAGACTTCAGCTGAGGTGAGGCTCGCAGGCCAGGGTCACACCAGCGACCAGCTCATTTGCCAGCCAAATGGAGTTTCCATTCTGCCCTTCTTGAACCACAGCTTGTTGCCCTCACAGTGCGCGCTGCTCTGGTAGACACACACGTAGCTCTAAATGTGAATGCAGAATCTACTTTGGGAGCACCAGCACTGTATGATTACAATGTGAAAGGAAACCACCAGTAATAGATCATTTTTGTCTGGGTTGTTTGCGCAGTGATGGAAGGAAGACACTGAACTGGAAAAGGAAAGTGAAATGGTTTCCTCATGGGGCAACACAACCAGTACAGCCTTTTTCCTATTAAATCTGGATGCCCTTTAAGGTCATCCTGGGTTAATGCTGCAACTAATAATTATTTTCATTTGCCTTTTATCAATAAGATTATTGTTTCAATTCATAATTTCTGTAAATTGTCAGAAAACTTCAAAATGTGCTCATTTTAAAGCTTGATAAATGACTAAAACGGTAAGTTGCATATTAGTGTTCTGTTTCTGTTTTCTGTCTGAGCGCCAGCTGGGTTATTTGTCTAAAGTGGAAATGCCCAATATAGATCCAGAAGTTTCTAAATTTCAAGAGGGTGTCACATCATGTGGTCTCTGCTCAACATGTATCTTAGATGACACACAAAGCACATCAAGTGTTTTAAACAAAGTGAGTATTGAGCAACAGCCTGTCAGCTTATCAGTTCAAATCATTTGTTTGCAGATAAATCTGTTCAATTAGCTATTTATTGTAAGCTAATAGAAAGGCGGTATGGAGAACTATGGCCATGGAGAATGGTGGAACAGTGGAACATCCACCTTGAGATGCACAGTTATGTTAATGAACCTGAATAATTATGCCAAGGGCAGGGCGAGAGGACTCATTTGTAGCTAGGAGAGAGGCAGTTTCTTTGGACACTAACCACTTAACACGGCCTCATCTGCACTGAGCATTTTGAGCGGCTGCTGTATTCCTGCTTTATAGAAATCATCCACATTATATGCACACATGCAATTCTAAGCACGGACAAATCACAGCTTTAACTGTAAGACAGAATACTCATGTACATCGACACTGTTTTTCCACCGCTGAACGGTGCAGTCTTGTGTCCACAGTAGCTTTCATTTGCGTTTTATTGTTTTATGTGTGTGCACACGCAGAAGAATACGAGATAATGCGGGTAAAACTGGTAGGGCAAAATATGGAGCAGGTTTGACTGATGTTTTTTACACTCTTATTTTTCCAGTAATGGTTTACTGAGCATGACCGCTTTTTGTCAGCACCGCCTTGTTCTTCTCATACACACGGCACTTTCTACACCCTTCCTGTACAAAGAAGGGAGGGTTTCACTATCCCACGTTTCATTATACGAGCTCAACTACTTTGAGGTCAGCAGTAATGTATTGAATTGATTGGCTAAATGGTTGAAGTTGAAATGACAACCTAATGTTGAAAAAAGGTAAAAGCAACATATATATTTAATCAGAACATGCTTTAAAAACTGCTGATCTTAATGTTTACAGATTAGTGTAGACAGTATAAGTATAAGTTGGGCTAAAAGCCTTGTGAAGTTAAGTATGCATTTAGTCCTTAATCAAAGTCACAGCAGCCACATTATGAGACAATAAAACAGAGCCCTCGACTTGAGTCTCTCACTGAACAAATATTCACCTGTCAGCAAGTCCCACAGCAGCCTTGTCTCTTTCCTGCCTCCACACTGTAACACCATTAGGAGCTCTAACAAATGGCGTGTTGCTCATGAAGTTATTGAAATGCCAAGGCCAGAGCATCAGTGTGGCGTAATGGTCCCAGCTGGGACACTCAGGCCACTGGCTGTGGTTTGGCTGATTGGATGCATTTGCTCTGACAAATGCCAGATGTGCTCGAAGTGAGATAGTTGCCTCTCACTTCTTGTCGGTGTGGATTTATCCAACAGCAGCGCACAAATCAGGTTAGGTTTTGGCCCGCTTTCGTTCAGCAGCCTTTATTAGCATCCACGAGAGCGTCAGCCGAGGCTTACCAATGAAAACAGCTGTTTTTATTCCAATGAAACCGCATTATTGCGTACCTTTCATTTCACTGCCTCAGCCTTCATTATTCCGACGAGCTTGACTACCCTCGCCTCCCAACTGAACAAACACGCTTTTAATTTGCACCTGTCTCCAGTGATAAAGGCTTTAGTTAAGTGTGCTTCCTTGTGTCAGCCTTGCACCAGGTCCACTGCTGAGCAGGATTTGTTATTTGATAAAGGAGCGTGGGCGTGTCGAGCCCTTTATGAATGTCCCAGCCCATTAACTTCAGTGTCCACCCTCGCCTAGCCCCCAGAGCATAGCTTCAGAGGAAAAAACCTTATTACTGCCCACCTGAACTGCACTTCCTCCTGCATCCCAGAGAGATGTGCTGTAAACTCCAACCAGAAATGGCTTAAGTTGCAGTGTTAGAGCTAGTATCTCCTTTACTATAGATTCAAAGTATCATCTCTAAGTTATGTATGCTTCATTGACTCCAATTGATAACAAATTGAGAATGAAATCATGTCATATGAGCGTTTTCATTCATCTAAACATTCAAGGACAAACCTTTGATCTCCTGAGTCACTTGAACCATTCCTCCAAAGCTGATTTTGTTCGAAACTTTAAGCAGATTATAGCAGTGAGTTCCCCTTTAAAATGGAAAACATTACGATGGCTTCCTCAAAATGGCCTCACTAATCTTTCACACCAGACGCGTATACATGCAGATTTTACACTGGTATAAAGAGTATTACCCATCCTACAAAGCAGCTACGTTGGGACCTAATATTAATTTCCCAGCTTGGTATCCCCGTCCTCTCTGATATGTTTCTGCCCCTCTGACTGATTGGGCTGTGTGTCTCTATTTTTCCCAACTGGTAAAAACTCACAAGGTTTTTTTTCCCCTGACATTACAACATGCTGCTCTGATTGATGTCCACGGTGAACACATGAGGGGATTGATCAGTCGGTCACACGCTGAGCTGAAGCAGACAGATCCTGACGTATTTCTTCATCTTATTGATCTGCTTACCACATGACAGATTAAACAGTTGCCTCACGCACACCCTCAACCACAATAAGCCCAGGCTGAAATAGTCCTTTTTTTACTCTCCATAGCAAACAATGAAACAGTGACTTTGCTCTGTGCAACGTAGCAATTGTGTGTTTGGTGGAGGGTTATATTTTTACCAAAATATAGTCCAAAACACACGTTCCTTAATGATGAATGGATTATGAGTTACGTGTTGAGAGAGGTTTCACCATCTTTATTCAACGTTTTCAAGTTGAATAAAGCATCCCTCCAGAATGCCCTGTTCCTTTGTTTGCATCATCGTGTGCTTAAGTCTTCTTTGCCACCCACAATGTGAATCGTACCTTACCCTCCCAGAGGAATCTTGCTTTGCTGCATAACTGTCATTACGCCACAGCCACCAAACTTACAGTCCACACCAAAAGGAAACGCATTGTGTCTGAGCTCGTGAGCTGAGTCATGA